GTTTTCTTTATTCAGTAAAAGAAGGAAAGCCAAAGAAGGGAAATTCTAAGCTATAAGAAGAAAATGCTGTAAGATGGCAAGAATTTACTTGAATAAAATGCTAATTTTAAGAAAAATGTCTGCCATGGCAGAGAAAAGGTAATAATTTAGGTGGCATGGTGAGGATATGCAAGGAAGAGAAGTTCCACCATTAAAAATGCTGTGGCTTAAATTGTCTCCCTCAAAACCACACCAGCAGGCAGGGCTTGCTCTGGTGTTTCATACGAATGGGGAAAGCTGACATTGCCCTGCTGAAAAATAGACTTCTACAATTCCAGAGGCTTTTTTTTTTTTTTTTTTTTTCTGGAACAATGAGAAACTAATCCCTGTTATATGAAAGGAAGCTGGGCTCTGGAAGCTCCAATCCAGGGCTAAGGGTTTGTTGGATGAGATGGAGCTCAGCTCCATGTGATGGAACCACCTTGCATAACAAAGTGTCTTATCCATATAACGGGAAACAGGTTTGAACTTGGTCTGCTTTCACTCGTAATGAGAAAAATATGAAGCCACTAGAGAAGTACACAGTGGGGTTTACCTTGGGCCAGTTTAATTTCCTGTCCCCATTTCTCTTCCGAAGGCGGACAACTCATAAATATCCTGCCCTGAAAACAAACAAAAAGAAAAATTAAAAAAAAAATCAAAAGGAAAGAAAACATACCATTAATTTGCCCAAATTATTGCTGTGGGAGTCAGACAGCTAAACATGGCACTTAAGGGCACTTCTGGGAAACAAATTCTGTAGTTCCCATCTCCTGTCTGATATGGAGAGATGGAAGTGATGTGGCCACTGCCCATTTCCTAAGACATGAAGCAGGTGTTCCTCTCAACTAATTGCTCTCATGTTCCTGTCCAGATAACACTTTTTGGGGTTTAACACTCCTCATCTGAATGTCTCCTGAGTCACTGTGCCTTCAGGGCTTCCTTAGTTTCCAGTTGCATCTCAGGAGTTTTCTGAATAAGATTTGATTTCTGTACATTTACTGAATTCTAGTAGATTATTATTCCACGACCTTGTTCAGATTCACAGTGAACTGGGGAAAAAAATATAAATCATGGGATCACTAAGGCTGGAAGTGGTGGAATTCAGCTCACAGGAGGATGCACCTCCCTTGGGGTGTCTACATGCTCTGCTTCTTGTCTGGGAGGGGGAATTACTCACTGCAAGCTAAAGCAGCCAAGGATGGTTCAGCTGATCAGATAAATGTGTTCACAGATAGCTCTCACATCTTGCCAGTGATTCAGCCCATTTCTGATATCTGTTTCTGGTGCTTCTTCTGTCAAAACACTGACTTAGAAATGAAGTTTAGTGGAATTATTCATGTGAACATAAAAGGGAAAGAAGTCTGTGTAGACTCTCTTGGAGATTAATATGGGCTTGTGTATTTCATTTAACCCCTTAGAGCATGTTTGGTTCCTTAAAGCACTGAATCCACTCCTCAAGTCTCCCAAGTCTGAAGCCTGAAAAGCTCAGGGGGTTGCTGTGCTGTTCTCTGCCCTCTGACATTTTTTTCTGTTACCTTAATGAGGATTACTGGACTGCAAAGAAAAGATGTCAAAGATTTCCCAGCAGATACATCAAGGATAAGATGCAGTGTCAGCCCACATACCCTGTGGGTACCAGTGCAGGGAAAAAGGCATTTCAGTCATACAGGTCGCTGGAAAGTGTCCTCTTCACCCCAACACTGCACTACAAGTGGCTGTGTCTTGTTTCAAAACATTATTTTGTCTATTTAGGAACCAGACATATTGGTCATCTTGTATTCTGGATGTTCTCAGTAGCAGAATGGCAGCTGTAAAGAACAGCTGTTGATTTTTAGTCAGGTCTCTAATGTGTGGTACTGCTTCCTACTAAACTCAGATTAAGGTTAGACAACCCTTAAGCTTTTGGAGTCTGGTATTCTACAAAATATTCTACAAAAGTTCAAGCTTTTCTTAAAAACCTGAATAACATATAGGAAATACAAGCAAAGGATGACAAACTCATTTTGGTTGTGTTTCCCTGGTTCTGTCAAGACCTTAAACCAGCAGGTCAAAAGGTGCAAAATGTTATCTGGGTAATATTTGCAAATCCTCTGTGAATAAGGATGATATAAATATAAATATGAACATGCACATGTACATTTTAACTTGACACAAGGGAATTTACCTTCCTATTCCCTTCCTAAAGCATTTCTGGGGTGCTCTTGGGATGGTGAGCACTGGTGCTGTGTACCATGGATGGCCCAGGCTGCTGCTGCAGTGATAATTTAGCTGTGATAAGGAGGCAAATAAATGCTCTGTTATCATACTTACACCTTCCACAGGCCCCAGCAAAGCAGGACATCCAAGGTTTGCCTGAGTTTGTCCCATTTTGGAACATGGCCCAGAGTCCTTGCTCTCACAGTGGAATCTTAACGATCCTGGCAGGCAGTGTAAAATTACCCGGCTGGAGGAAAGCAAAAGGTTTCCTATGATATTTCCAGGTTTTCTTTGATTCCACACAGCCCATCAATAAGTGTTGATTAGCAGGGAGAATGACCTCAAGCCACGTCAGCTGTAGGATGTGTTTTTCCTGGAGGGAAAGGAAGAATATGATTTCCGCCTCTCCAATATAAGGATTATCACAGGTTTTTAAAGAATAAAAAGAATAATTTTGCTCTTGTTTTCTTTTATAGAAGCCCTTTAAGTGAAGGGAAATCCCAATGGCTGGCCAGTGTTTAATCTTTTAAAATGTCAAGGCTTTGTCAAATGCTAACATCAATACATCAGAGCTGAGGTTCTCTGGGGTTGCTTTATGATAGAAAAGAATTTGGTTTCTTATCTGCTTTTGGGCACATGCACATCAGTCACTTGTTTGCTAAGACAACTGGCTTTTAAGTTTGGCCATTTGGCCTTCCAAATGTGAGGTAAGATTTTCCAGAGGGTATGCAGTTCAGATTCTTAAATTGGTTTTGATACGAGGAAAAAGCACTGGAAGTCTAATTTGTTGAAAGACAAAAATCCCATTGTCTCTACAGTGAAAAAAAAAAGTGTTTATTTTTAAAACTTACAAAAGCAATAGAATATTAATTCAGAAATATCAAACATGAATTTCCTGCAATTTTCAGTGCATCTCATATGGATGCATTTATATCAGGCTCACACTTTCCACATGTAAGTCCTAATAATGATGAAGGTTTCATTAGTGGATTTCAGTTTCTACTCTATGGATGCTGAAGGAACCAAAATACTCATCCTTTCAACCAGAATTCCCTTCTACTTGTGGATAAACTACCTCCAACTCAGAGGATATCACTCCTGCATGTTAAATAACAAGATATAAAAATACATTATTAGTGTTTCAGATTAGCAGGATTTAAAAATCAGATTTATGCTGAGGAATGACTTTCATTGCTTAGGAATTTGATATTAAACTTTGTTACAGAGAATAAACAAGAAATGTGAACAGCATCTGTGGAAAGTGAAATATTTCAGTTAACCATCTTTAAGTTTTAAGGTTTTTCAAATATTAGCATTGGGAAAATGAGGGCATAAATCACAAAAATCAGATTAATAGGAGGATTTCCCATGGTTTCATTGTTCTGGGCAGGTCACAATAACATGTAATTATGTTTTTTGCCATGTATGACCCAGCAGTTTTTAATGCAGGGGCTCTGACAGATGTGATAAGCTACTGATAGCACAAATTAATATAAGTTTTGCAGAGTTTGTTTCCTACTCTGAGTCACATTCTCAGTTCTCTGGCCTGTGGCCAAGCTCGTGTTTCATCCCATCCATGCAAGTGAGCTATTTCTGCTTAACATCAAAATTTTCAGCTCAGTGACAGACTTGCCTTGACTTAATGAAGACACCACTGAATACAGCAATTAAGAGCAGAACTCAAAACTTGTTATAGCATCGAATGGTTTACCTCCATGGTTTCTTGTTAGGTGCAAGTTTTTAGCAGTACTCCTGAAATATGACAGCATTTCAGCTCTGTAATGTCCATTTATGTGAATCACCATGGTTTCAATGTGTTCTGCAGCATTTACAAGAAACTCTGCTGATTGCATGACTAATAATACCATTGGAATATTTATCTCTGACAGTTTGAGTTTTTCTAGATAATCTACTTCAGTAGGAAATCAAAGCACTCCCATCAGCCCCTTGGTATTCCTAAATTGGGAATTTTTTTAAATGTATCCCCAAGAAGTTAAATGAGACTCAGTTTGAGTCTAAGACACCAAAAAGTCATTCACCACTGAGTTAGGTGTCTAAGTTATTTGTAGTCAAATGAGATCTAAAAAAAAAAAAAGAAAGAGCTTTCAAATGATCCCTTTCATTTCATCAGGTGAATTGATCTCATCTCCATTGACTACACCATTATCTGTGCATATTAGAGTTACAGTGACTAAATATTAATATCTAGAGATGTTTTATATACTTTTGGTCTTCTGTCACATCCACCAGTCCCATATGAACTCCATGGAAATCTCAGGGTATTTCCAGTGACATTAAAGGCATATTTTCAGGCAATTCATTCATAGCATAGGTGCAATATTCATATCTTAATATTATTGTGGAAATCCCTGAAGCAATGAGTGACTGTCCTAAGGCACCACAGCTCACTTCTGAAAAAATAAACTCTGCTGAAGGTGACTCTCTGGCTGATTTGTTTGTCACATGTAGATCATTTACACCCTCACTGTGTCCAGTGGCTGAGTGTTCACTTTGGCTGGAAGCAGCAACCACTCAACCAGGTTGGATCAAAAAAAGCTGCTTATGCCTAGGCTTGAGTACAGCAGGGAGTGTTTCAAAACTAACTTCTCTTCATTTTTTTTCTATTTCTTCCTATTTTTCCCCCCTGTTCAGCAAAAGGAATGCCAAGAAGGAAAATGGATGTGCATTTTTATATTGAGGGATTAGATACTGCAGAACTTTGTCACATGGGTTGAAGTCGTGCAGGAATATGAAGTAACACTTTCCTTCTTGCCTCCATGCAGCTTTCAGAGGGAATCAATGCAGGCCAAGGGCTGGGAATTGAGATCATTGCCACCTTCCAGCTGGTGCTGTGTGTCCTGGCCACCACAGACCGGAGAAGGAACGACGTCTCGGGATCGGCGCCTTTGGCCATTGGTCTCTCCGTTGCCTTGGGACATCTTCTGGCTGTGAGTTTGAGCTCTCAGAGGTTTTATCTGCCATGCCCCACGTCGGGGTGGGCCAGTGAAGGCAGGGAGATGATGGGGAAGCTTTGTCTGTGCCTCACCTCTGGTTCTCTTTCCCCCTCCCAGATTGATTACACCGGCTGTGGGATTAACCCAGCCAGATCTTTTGGCTCAGCGCTCATCGCCAACAACTTTGAAAATCACTGGGTAAGCTGAATAAATTTGTTTAACTCACAAGAGGCTCTGAAAACACATAACCTACAAGATCAGAAACATTTCAACACGTATCATTAGGAGCAAGTCACAGAGTTGGCATTTCCTTTTCATGTAACAAAGAATATTCTCCTTTCAATCCTGACCAGCCTCGGGCAAACAAAAAGTCCTCAGGCTCATTCAGGCTCTGTGCTCAAAGTAATACAGTAGATTTTCATTAGTTGTTCCCCTTAATATTTATTTATTTCCAACATTTTAATAGTTTAAGCCTTATTACACAGAATCCTGTATTATGTATTTATTGTTTAAACTAATTTTGTAAAGTGCCACTGCTTAATCTGGTAAAACCCAATTTAGAAAGATTCTTAAGCAGGTTTATAAACTGAAATAGATCATCAAATATCTAGGAGCTAATAAAATGTTCAGCGTCTTCAAGCTGAGTGTCTGCTTATGTGCTTTCAAGGAGAAGTGCTCTGGAAACACGATAAATTTTAGATTATTCCTTGTGTTTAAATGTGGTTAAAATGAGGTTCTTCACAAAGATTTACTTATTTCACCAAAGCTCAATAAAGAAGGCTGATATAAAGTTGTAAATGAGCATATGTTCTTGAATATATAAAAGAAAGCTTGTTCCAACTCTCCTACTGACAATTTTGGCAGCAAGTTGCATAGGCACAGGTGGATATTTAATGGTAATATAATGGGCTTGTGAAAATTCTGGATATGGATTCATTTTAATCTAAAGAGTAAAACATAAAAGAGGGACACTGTGGAAATTTTGGAAGTGTCTACCACTTGAACACTTTATTAGGACACTAAAGGGAAGTAACTAAGTGAGGAGCTGATATTTTCAGAATTTAACAGGAAAATGGTTATCCTTTGTAGAGATTGAAGAAGATAGAGGTAATAATTTGTGTTAAAATAGTGGTATTGCTGAATAAAAGTTTTCAGACTCGGTAGTGCTTTGGCCCTGCAAAGTCTTCAATATCTTCTGTTATTTCTAACAAAATCAACTTGTCTACTAAAATCCTTTTATTACCTCTCTTTCTAAATTTTAATTTTCTTAAGTGGTTAGGCCAGTTCAATCAAAGCAATATCACCAGCTAAGCAGCATCTAGTGGTAAATTAATCCCCTAATAAGGTCCTTGTTAAGTGTGACTTTCAAATTCACCTATCACTGGAATTTAATAGGAGAATGGAAACTAATGTCCTGTTATTTTAGAAATTATGCTCCTCTGCCATCTCTATCCAGAGTACCAGAGATGTTTTAGCAGAAGGTAACTGATTTTAAATATCACAACTTGAAAACACAGTCACAGTTATTCTCCTCTGGCTCTATCACCAATCCATGGTGACAAATTCCTGCTTTTACTCCATGTGGCTGAGTAAACATTCAGGTGGATAGACTGCAAATTTCACGGTGAGAATCCTCAGAGGAGCTTCAAATGCAGAAATAGCTGATGCAATGACTCGGATTTGTATTCCAGATTTTCTGGGTTGGCCCAATCATTGGAGGAGCAAGTGCTGCCCTGATTTACGACTTCATCCTGGCACCCAGAACCAGCGACCTCACCGACCGCATGAAGGTGTGGACCAGTGGCCAAGTAGAAGAGTATGACCTGGAAGGGGATGATATGAACTCCCGGGTTGAAATGAAGCCAAAATAAAGAAGGGCATGGAGAGAGGGGGGGGAAAAAACAGAAGTTTAAAAAAAAAAAAAAAAAAAAAAGCAGCACATTGGTTTCCGAAGATTTTATCAGTGTTATAGACTCTTTGTAAACCAGCAAGCAGTACTTTGGTTTTTTAATTCAATACAGTTTTCCCTTTTTTGTTTTGTTTTTTTTTCCCCCCAGTCCTAATAGCATTTTTTATATCTGGGGTTTTTTAATTACAGAGTCTTTATGTTGAGAAGTCATGACCTAAATAAATTGGTTTAACCCTTCCCTTGGTACCACCCAATTTTGAGGTGTATTTAGCGTGGGAGGTTCTCCTGCCACATCACTCACTAATGATAAGCAGTTCCAATGACCAGTTTATATCCTGAAAGAATAGATATTGAGGACAGAGAACCTCATGTATCAATAACAGAGGCCTTACACCTGAAAAAACAGTATTTATAAAAAAATGCAAGGCTGGCATCTAATGCCAGCAATGAATGGGAAAAAAACCAGTCTCATATCAGTGTCCAAAAGCATCTTGAGGAAGGAAAGGTGACTAAAGATTAGTTGCTATGTGAAATTACCCATAATTTCCTAAATGATTGATCATCTTTGAGAAAGAGGGTCAGAAAAGTTAACCAGGGTAAGAATTTCCAGAGTCACAGGATCTTTCAGATTTTCTAGTGTTTCATTTTCCCTGATCCTGCATTCAGTTGCTTGTGAGGGGAGAATACATGTGACAAAAAAAAAATATAGATATATTAACTCCTGGGAAGTAATAACTAGAAGTCAAATTGGAGAGTAGCAACCACAATGGCAGCAAGAGTGATGTGGTGCCAGTGTGTAAACAGGATCTGATGGTTCCTGTGACTACTCTGTGTAATTTATCCTGTGATTTAAAGCAAAACAAGGAGAAAAGAAGTGCCCTTTCTTTCTCTCTGACCCCATTCCAATAGCCAGCTCTGTGACATTCAGGGACCACAAACAGATTTACACATGGTATATTTTCTAATGAGGGACAAATACATACCTGTTAGTCCATTTTGGGGGTGGTTGCTTTGTTTTTTTATATATATATATATATATATAAATGTTTATATATATGTTTTATACAGAAAGCCTAGTGTACTGTTTTGTAAGAAAATAAGAGCATAAAGACAAGTGGAAAGATTTGCAGCAGTTCTTAGCGAAATAAACAACACTGGAAACAAGAAAGAAAATTAACACTCTAAATGACATGGAAGATTATGTTCTGTTTAAATTTGTGTGTGTGTGTGTGCTACTTATGATTTCCTGAGTTACCCAAAGCATTAGCTGGTCTTACCTACTAACTGTAGAATATAGTTAAAGCAGACACGTGCTGATATACTTGTTCTGCACTAAGCAGTTTTCCATAAGAAACGAGGCCCAGAGGAACAGACAGAAAATCAGCACATTCCAGCATTCAGCAAAAACCCCCAGAGGTAATGGGATGGATTCTCCTCTCTGAGAGACAGTGTGGGATTAGGAGGTGAGGTAGGATTGGCATAGGAATCTGTATGGGTTGGATCATTTAATCAACTTGAGCAGATGGACAACGAAAAAAGAATAAAAATTAAAATCACCAACAAAATTAACCAGAATATATTTTATCTTTCTTGCCTACGTTTGGTGTGCTATCCCATGTATTGCCTATGTACATAGAGCATGATTGGATTTTGGGGTGGTTTAAAAATAAACAAAATCAGTTGTGCTAACATATCAACTGTTCATGATTCTTCATTTTTAATTTGACCTCTTATTTGACCTTTTAATTTATCATATAATACAATTTAATCTTCTCCACCATTTCTCAGGTGCCCACCAGTAAGACTGAGCCAATTTCTACTTTTCCACTCTTCACTTGATGCTGCCTTTTAGGGAAAGGAATGTTCTTTGTTTTCATGGAAAGCAAAGCAGACCCTCACCTGGAAGTGAACTTTTCCAAATTATACTTGGAAATGAAGCAAAGTACCAGGATCTTGTACCCACTTTCTAGAATTTTATCCAATTTTATCTGCAGTTATCCCATTGCCTCCATTGACTCCCAGTTAACCCTTTTTTGCCTTACAAAATCTCTCAGCCAGAGACAGAGCCAGAACAGTTGCAGAACTCACCTGCAGTAAATAGTTTTGTTTTGACAAACTTCAGGTAGCTTAAGAGTTAATGGTACAGAAAATGTGAGATTCACAATTTGTTCCTTAGTCTACACCTTGCAAGGAAATTTGCTTCTTCTTTTATGCTTCAAAATCCAACACTGTGAAGACAAAAGCCACTCTCTTTCCATTTGAGTTGTGATAGGACTGCATCATTTTAGCTGCTCTAGCTTATGATCACTAAAATAATAAATTAAATAGATTAAAGACATACAATGATTGTTTCACTAGTGAAGAAACAAATAAGAAAAACCCAAATCAAAGTAAACAAAGTCTGATTTGTTGGTGTATTTTGTCGAATCACAGAATCATTGAAAGTTTAATGTTGGAAATGACTTCGAAAATCACCTAGTTCCAATCCCTTGCTTTGGGCAGGGACTATTTCCACTAGACCCTGTATTTACAGTGATAATGTTTAAACAATTTACAGTAAAGCTCTTAAGAAAATTAAATGGAAAAATGAAAAGTATTTAAGGTAAATTCCAGGCTTAAACGCCTCCATTCTTAAAGAAGGAGAAGCTTAATTTTGAAGTGTTTTTGTAGTACTTAGACCCTGAACTGAGAGCAGGGATTCAGGCCACAACTGCTAATGTTGCCTCCACTCCTGGCACAAATGATTTTACTTTGTGTTGGACAAGCACCCTTCAAAGTTATCAGCAGCTCATTAAAATAGTTGAAACATACCCAGAGAAGGAATTAAAGGCATGAAGCAGCAAGCATCGAAACCCACTAACAAATGTCAAGTGGACAAATGTGATCTCCCAGAAACTCAACAAAATGTGCCTGACAAAGGAAGCCTGGCACAGGGCTGTTCAAACAGCTCCTGTGATGTGTGCACTGAGAGCTCCTGATCCATGGAATAATGGGGGCTGTCTGTGCCCTGGTGACTCCCCAGGCACAAACCTCTGCATTTTTCACTCATTCTAACAGGAAAAGGCCATAGAATCCTAGAATGGTTTGGATTGGAAGGGAGTTTAAATATCCTCTAGTTCCAAACCCTAGGAACGCCTAGGGACACCTTCCACTTCCCCAAGCTGCTCCAATCCCCATCCAGATTGGCCTTGGACACCTCCAGGGATGGGGCAGCCACAGCTTCTCTGGGCAGCCTGTGCTGGGGCCTCAGCATCCTCTGAGTGAAGATGAAAAAGGGTGGATGCTTCCCTAGATTATCCAGGAACCACCCACCATGGTCTCAGTTCCCCAGAGCATCCCAAGCACCTACACTCTCTGTAAAGGAAAAAGCACAAGAAAACATTTTTAAGTTCAGGAACATGGGTGTTAGTTCCTGGATGAGCCATCCCAAATATCCCAAATATTTTCCTGGGCAAAGCTGAGCAAAGCAAAGATGATCCAATTTGCTTTTTCTGAGTGCAGGTTGCCACCCAACCTGCCACCCAGATTGCCACCCCAGGAGTGTGCAGGTGTTCCCACTCTGTGGTTTGCACAGGTGACAAAGCATCCTCTGCATATTCCAACACAATACAATTTACAAAAAGCCTGAGGAAGGTGCTTTGGATTCACCCCTGAGAAACCTCTGCTGCTCTTCTGACTCTACAGACAATCTAGGGAGATTTGGACCCTAACTTTACCCAGAAAATGCATATTCTGCCTCCCCATTGTAACTGCAGCAATTTAATTTTAGATTTCAACTAGCTCCACTCTGTGTAGACTTTGAACACGTGCGAGGAAAGAAAGGCAATTGAAACCGAACATAATGACAGCCAGCACTCCAGGAAACTTCCATTGTCCTTCCATATCCACCAGCTGCACCAGTCACAATTCACAGCTTAATGTTTTTAAAAATTAGGGTAACACAATAAAACAAATATAGATTTTCTCATAATATTTCAATGTTTTTGCTGCTTTTACCCAGCTGAGGTTTGGACATGCCAAGTAGCACACAATAAATTATATTAGGAATATGGATGTTATGATTCACCTAGATCCTGGGCTTGTGTAAACATCTGTGTGCAAATATTTGTGTAAAGAATGATTCTGGGTTTCATTCAAGCTCGATGCCCTTGAAAGTACCAAATCTTTTGTATATAAGTTGTCTGATATCAGCTAAATTAACCCATAATTCTTTCTGGGAGCAAATACATAATTTTATAGACTTTCCAAAGCTGAATCATGAAATAGAAACTCTGCTTAAATAGATTAATTGCTAATTAGACATTAGCCGTCTATGGGATCACTTGGCTTTAGGTTCTTGAAATTAATTTGTCAGGCAGGGCTATGAATGGTGTTCCTGAGAAGGTGCAGTCCTTGTTGACTTCAAGGTTCCCCTTTGCTTTTGGAAAGTAAAACTTTGCAGGGACCTGTAGTCCTGACCACTCCCATGTAGCCATGGATGCCTGCCCGTGGCCATTCCTGTTCCTCTCCAGGGCTGCTGCCTGCAGGTCTGTGATAAATCACTGTACAGTCCAGAGTTTGGTAAGGGCAGAGCACAAAATAATCACAGGAACACAGAGTGGATGGAGGGAAGTGACACAGGGCACACGAGGTGAGTGGTTTGTGGATTTTAATAGCACCCAGAAGGATTCATTCTCCTTTCCCCTTGCTTGAACTCTATGCCCTACTGCCCCAGAGCCATACCTGTTTGAACAAGAGGTTTTCACCTTTATCAATAATTTTATTATCAGGTTTATAAGTTTGGATAAGAAAGAACTCCAGAAATTAAATACACTCCCCTGCTCCTGATTTCCTGACCTTCCTGATCTGTCATGCTCTAAAGTTTGCCATGAGCTGCCCCCATTGTGCCTTTTCCTCTATTTTGTTTCTATTCTTGTCTTAGAGCAGGAATTGAGAAGCTGGTGGAAAATTATCAGTGTAGTGATATTATTGGCCCATTTTTGGCAGCATTTCTAGAAATTTTTTACATCTTTCTCAACTTTTCCTTTACACTTTATTTTCAAGGTGATGAGAAGAACCATTATCAGTTAGAGCTGACCCCTCCATTTAATCTCTTCTGCCTTTAGCTGGTGCTCAGTTCCCTGCTCTAAAGGGTGTATCCTTACTCCTAGACAAAAACCTGGAGGGACCATTTATTAATTAATTTTTTCTTTGCCATTGAAAGCAAACAGAACAATGTTTCCTGGAAGCATGGGAGCCAAATAGCAACTCTTGACTAAAAGTGGCTGTTAAGTGCAATTGCTGGAAACAGTCATAGTTTTTTTTTTGTTTCTTTTTTTTTTTCCCCTGAAAAGTAAATGAAGCACTTGCAGGTACCAATCTGTCCAAAAGACAGATGTGACTGTAAAAACAACGAGCTGCAGCACACACTTGATTTCATTTGAGCATCTCCAACTTTTTCTTGTTTCACCATTTCACATTATTACTTAATCAAGAAGAACCTGGCATGAAATAAAAGGGAGAGAGAGAAATGATGTGCCTGCCTGATGCTATATCCTATCAGTGCTGTGTGGGTAGAGTGTTACTGTGTTTTCTGTCCTGGATCCAGATCTGATTTACTCAAAATTATTTATCATTGTTCAAGGAGTGAAAGAGGAACTGAATTATATTCCTATCTGGCTTTGCAGTGGTTTATGTTATCATGGCAATGTGAGAATTTTTTTTGGTGATTTTTTTTTTGGGTTTTTTGGCCATTAATGCTTTCATGTGGGCTGTGAGAGACCTGACCTCAGCTCTTTGTGGCTAAGACTCAAGCCAGGCAAGGGAGTGAATCTCAAACCCCTATTCCAATCTGTGAATATTAATTTGTGCCAGAAGACTGAGATGTGCCAATTTTACACATATTCCTTGCTAATCCATGTCATTCAACTTCTGTTAATCTTCAAAGTGTGCTTCAATGTGCCTTGGATCTGATAGACTGTGATTTATTTGCCACAGGTGGGTATTTTGTTTTTCCACTTGTGTAACTGGTGAGGCTGCCAGATTTATATAATTCTAAATTGACTTTTGCCTAGAGAATGCAAAGAAAATGCTTTATGACTGTAGGTTCATATTTCCATTTCCATGGCTCATAGGGAAAAGATTGGCAGGAATGGGGGAGTGGTACTTCACTACAAAAAAACCTAAACAAACAAACAAAAACAAAACAAAACAAAAACACCAAAAAACAAACAAACAAAAAACCCCCAAAAACCAAAGAAAAAAACCCACCTGCTCAAGAATTTTTAAGATTTTCCATATGCAAACTTGGATGAAGGCACCTTGGAATAGGAGGGGTAGATTTTATTTGTTTCATTAGAAGTCATATCATACTACTTCTTCTTGGCTCTAGCAGACAAGAACTTGCTAATTTTATTTACTAATATAAACATACCCTGAAATAATATATCTTGGTGACATTTTAGGAGGGTGTCACTCTCAGCTGTCACCTCTCTCTGCCCAGTACATGCACAGAAATGAACTTTTCCAAAACTGAACTCCAACAAGGTGAGGGACACCTTTGGGCTCCTGTTAGGGGCAGTCTGGCAGTGACTCTTTTTGGAGAAAGGACAGATTTCTGTCTCCTGCTCAAGCTTTGGCAGGAGTGAAGCTTTAAATCTGCTCAGAGCTTGAACTTTAGGCTTTTGGGGGGCCTTAAAGACAACGTGGTCCCTG